ATTCTGTTATAAAATACAAGTGTTGCCGAAACGATAAAATCTTATTCGGGGTGTAATGTAACAATATTATGAATACGAAAATTTTATTTATGGGTTAACCGGCTAAAAAATGTATACCGACACGTAAAACGAGCTTAAATTATTGCCACCTGTGTACTTATACGTCACACAGACACAGTTTTCGAAATAATTTTTGTTAATTACTGAAACTAGAGTTTTAAACATCACCAATTTCAAGCGAATACGTTTGAAATTTTGGTTCAACTAAATAGGGGTTAAAACAAAAAAAAATGATGCAGATTATTGAAATTTCCAGTCTCATTTACTTCTCGCTGTAGCCAATCAGTTTTTGGATGTGCTTCTGTCGGATTAACTGACGGCAAACGCAGATGTCATTACAGAATAATTTGCAAAATAAAAATCGACTTTCTAACTGACAAGACGGCCTGTCAATCAATAAAGCAATAAACGACTACGTAAAAAAAATTAACGTCCACCCCCAAACAAGCAACGATTTACGTCCGTCTCTTCTATTTAAACATCCTTAACAAATTAATGCCTCGTTGAACGATAAACTGCACCTGTGTTTTCTAATCTTGAAATTAATTATCTTACGCAGTGATAACAAAACTTCTTATCTACGACCGGTGATAAACTTTTACACATCCTACGCAATGATCCAGATGTTTCTTATTTTTGAGCAAAAATTAAAACAAAGCAAAATGCGATTATTTAAACAAAATTAGTTCATTAAATATATAATTCTGATACAAAACGTTGACCTCGAATTCAACAAATTGAGCGACTTTTCTCAAAAACGTCAAAAATTCACATACAGGATGACCCATCGATATTTTAGGCGTTGATACATAATAAAACGCACGCATGGTGTAGTTTACACAACATTCCTCCCCGTAAATTGCCTCAGAAAGTCAAAAATTACATAAACCCCCTTTTAACACTAAACAAAACCGTTGTAACTATATTTTGGTCAGTTTAGCAACTGATTTCCTTTCTAGAGGCCAGGATTGCTCCTAGACAGTCGGACACGGTAGCCTAAAGAACAACTACCTAGTCAAAACAAGACTCTACAGCATACCATGCTAGACCCTCACTTATTAAAATATGCTTATTTTTCTCACTTTTGAACGAGTACGTGCGGCGAACCGTTGATAAACTCGAACAGTTGTTTGAAGTGAGTTGGGGCTCGGTTCAGCGAATTTTGTCGAAGGATTCGGGCACGTCACGAGTCACTGCAAAGTTTGTGTCGCGGCTCTTGACTGATTAAGAGAACGAGCTCCTTTGTTTTTTCGATGCAAAAGGGATTATGGAATCGGAATTCATTCCAACAGGTCAGACCGTCAATCAGGTTTTCTACTTGTAGGTTTTTAAGTGGTTGCGCAACAGTGTGAGGCGAAGAGGACCCGAAATGTGGCAGGCTGATGTTTGGTTTTTCCACCACGACAATGCCCCAGCTCACACCGCCATGTCTGTAACCACTTTCATGGTATTGCCGCTAACGGAGAGTACCTTCAAGGAGATTTTATACAACAGCACAAATACACTTCTGGAAACTTTTGAGTGCCCCCTCATATATCCAATAAAGGAAACAAAATTAAGAACACGCAATCACCGAATCCTATTGCTCCTACTGTAAGGGCGCCAAGTAAAAATGCTATGTGTTCCACGTTGGGCGCCAAATAAAATGCTATGTGCATTGGCAAACTGTCACTAAACCACCCACATAAATATCTGTCCAACTAACTCACTCAAATTCATGTACTGACAAAACCTTTAAAAGAAATACGAAACCAGTTCAAAGAAATATAAATTGTGCACAACTCTTGTGCAGATAAAGCGCATTTTTTTAAACCGAAGTAGCTTTTGCTTTGACATTACCAATGGATATATTTCTTGCAGACGTCTCAATCGCCCTTTGTGAGTACCGTCTTCAAAATCCGAACAATTCGTGGGGGCCTCCCATTTAGACAGCGAAATTTGATGACCGTCTGGCACACCTTCAAGGTATAGGTGCAAAAAATTCCAGGACTCTAGGACCATTCCCCTAGAAGTAGTTCGAAACGACAGAAGTGGGTCCGGACGGATGGACGAACAAAACGCAAACAATAGCCCATTTTTTCTATTAAAAATTACGCTAAAAGTATTATTTGAATTGCGCGCGACGAGTTTGTTCCATGGAAATCCGCTTGACATCACCATCTTCGTACAGATTACAAGGCAGTTTGTCGAATGCACATATGGTTACTCGTTGATTAGCAACGTGGTTGTTTGTGAAGTGTGTTATTTTCTCTTTGACGGATATTGGAATTAGTGACTTGAACGAGCAAATAGTTGCTGTGAAATTTTGTGTTACAAAAGTAAAAAAAAGTCACAAACTACTTTGTAAACGTAAAACACGCCTCCGTTAAACTCAACCTAACCTTCACTTTTATTACGACGTAAAGAACACTCTTTAAACACTCTCTAGCTTTCTTCTGTCTGACTGTCTTTTAAAATACCCTGAAATACGGATATATGCAAAAAACACTTTTCAAACGTCCAACACCAAAGAAGCTCCGAAGCCCGTTCTCTTTAAAACAATTGGTTTTCTCACTTCTGTTCCTCCTTCCTTAAGAAAAGACTGCTTCTTCAAATGAATTAACATATTCAGCAATAACATGTGCTTATCTTGAAACTTATTAGCTTACGCAGCGATAACTCTTACCGTGAACGATTAGGGATTAATTTTGCAATAAAAATAAACTTAATATTTTAACACGTAAATCAATCTTTACAATAAAATAAAAAAGTGATTGTTTAAACAAAGCTAACAACATTAAGTATTCCCATATATAATAAATAAATACGTTTTTTTTATTCCCATTAATAAAAGAAGTTTGTAAATTCTATACTACAGAACAAAAACATACAAAATTTACTTCTAATTGGATAAGTAGTATAATAACATTGTGGTTAGGGAAAAAGGCCCAGCATAAACGAGTTATGCTGCCCTTCGATGGTAGTAGAAATTCAACATAAGATTTGGTTTAAAAGTTACAGTCTGTAAGAAAATGAATCTAAACATGGTCCAGCTGCAGTTGCGTTAAGAATTAATTCGATTATTTTTAAGTTTAAAATTTCCAGGAAATTTTCCTTTTGACAAAGTGTAATCAGAAGAATGTTATTATTTAATAATTTTTATGAGAGATGATGTATTTTCTAATATCCAGTTCTGAAGTAGTCTGTATGTACGTGGGCTTCTATTACAATTTTTTAGATATTGTGGAAGACAGTTGTAAATTTTGGGGCCTAAATAACTATATGAATTCTGAAATATTTTTTTGTTAATTTTAAGAAGTCGTAAATGCTAATTACTTATACCTCGCGTGACCACATTGAAACAACTTGAATACAAAATAAAGTATACCTCGAATCGAGTGACATGATCCTTAATCTCAATTTATAACCACATTTAACCTTGAAATAAAAAATTTAATTTGAAATTTAAATACAGCGTCACCCATCATTACTACAGGTGCCGATGTCCAACACACTCCTCCTTTGTCGAAATCAAAATTTTTTTTCCCTGATGGGTAGGAATTAAACAAAAATTTGTATTAAACCGGAAAGCACATACCCAATATCAAACACATGCAATCCTTCCTCTGGTTCTCGAGAAAGAATAAAATGAAGTGTAATATTGGGGCTTCGGAACGAGACATTTTTGCCTGCATTTTTGTTATTAAAAAAAATACCGTTTATCGACCGATTTTGTTGGCACAACTCAAATGTAACGCCCTGTATAGCATGTATTAAACTTGCAGATAGAAAACTGTTGCGGCAGTTGAAGCATTTTTCACTTTGTATTTTATTATTATTATTGGGAAGAATTTTTTTTCTATACCACCCAATTTTTTACATACATAATTGTTATCTACACCCTTATTAGACAGAGAGTGCTCGAAAAGTATGGAATATCGTATACATATACTTTAATTTTAGGAATATGTAGAAATTAATTCATAATTTTGACCTCTGTTAATGTGTTTTTTTCGTCACAATGACAGTAATAAACGTTATTCTATTCTATATCTTTTGACTCTATAAAAAATGCTTCTCTTGTTCAAATCTCTTTGTGCAGCATAAACTGATATTCATTTGTTACTTTTCCGAAAAACCAAAAGGTAGTGAAATCTTTTTGTTCTCATTTCTCTTCGATATTGTTTCCTAACATTTTCCCCAAAAGTTTCAAAATCTTTAATTTTCTCATCTACCATGTCGTACCAAATCTTAGCATCTCCTTTAATTCATTATACCCCTAATCAAATTCACCTCCTCATATTTTGTAAACTATGCCCCATACATACGCCTATTGTTATTTCTAACGAACGCTTATAAATTCTTAAAGAAAATCGTTGGGTTCATTTCTTTTCCCGCGTACTCTTTCCCTACCATAATGCAAAAATCCTAATTTATACATGGGCGAACCCCTTTCTCGATTTCCGTGTCATATTTATGAGATCTCTCCACACAACCTTGTATTAGTTGCTGTGTATCATGTTTTCACTTCATCATAAGCTTTAGTTACCTCGAATTAAATTAATTAATCATATCCTGTGCATCTAAACGACACCAATCGCACTAACCAATCTGGTTTTTGCACAGCGATAACTGTCAGCCTCTTTCTGTACATTTTGCACCTCGCGTTGCCATATTTCTCTTTCATCCACCAATGTTCGATTACATCTGGCATAAAAATCAACTCTTCATTTCTTCGCCAATTCCATTTTATTAATTGTTTACTATCCAACCCTCATTTTTTTCCAAAACTGACTTTTATAGCGTTGTCACGACCACTTCCACTTTTTATAAAACCCGCACAATTTGAGGTAAACTTTAAGAACACATATTTTATCACATAGATAAAACTATGACGTATCAAATTAAATAAATGTTTATCTAATAATTTTTTATTCAATTTCAGTCAATATGTGGTCATAGTGTAACACACTATGATGTAGTAGTATTCCTTTTTGGACAGTGTTTATATGACGTGATAGTCTACTTGTTTTAGTTTCAGGTAGATAATATGTTTGGTTTATACGAATATTAATATCGTGCTATTCTCAGTGTAACTTTTTTGGGTTTACAGAATCCGCTGCATTTAAGTGTATCTAATGGAAATAGTAGCGTTTATTTAAAAAAATGACGCATACAAAATTACCTTAAGTATACGTTTTAATCTCGGAATGTTATTTCGTAAACCAACTCATAGTATTTCTCCCAATAAAAGGAAAAACGTTCCCCCTTTAATAAAGCATATGACACTTTTACGACGTCATGCATTAATATTATCATATTTTATGCCGATTTGAATATATAATGAAACAGGAAATGTGCATCAAGCTTAGTTTCTTAATATTTTATGGAACTTCACCCTACCAATATCTGCACATCAATATAACACAGCATACACACCGTGTTGATCTTTGCTTTTGAATAGCCCGAGGTTTATGTTCGGACTTTATCAGGCAATACCGAAGCAATCCCCATTCAGCTTTTCTTGGGGATTTAATGCTTTATGTTACCTTGCTGTGTGACTGCGATCAATTCCGCTTTCGATTTCATAGTCATCAGGCGACGACATTTACCAATTTGCGGTAACAAAAACACCTGACATCGTCCCATACCTAATTTAGCGAATTGAATGTCACTCTGTTACAAGGTATCATTATCCTTGCGTCCCACTAAACGGGTATCAACACGTAACCGTGCAGTATTCCCAGCAAACGAGCTTCCATATGGTGTTAAATAAAATATACTTAATTTCCCGGAAAGTACACACTGGTATAATTGATACCTATTGGATCATGATTATTGTTGTTATTCGATACAGGAAACGACATTTGTCGGTATTGTTTTCTGTGCACTGTACAGGAAGTATACATAGGTAACAAGCACCTTTTTTCTCTCCTCATAAATGATTTCGATTATAATTTTGGGGTAGCGATAGCTAATAAAGAGTTACGCCGGCAATTTACGTAAATGACGTTTAATTACACTTCAATTGACAGTAATTTACCGCAGACGTAAATTAGCTCCGCAACCCCTTAGTCTAGTACTGCTTAAATACGCATATGTAGATTATAGAACTTGTGTTATACCGTAATTCAATCTGTTGATCGTAATCCCGAACGCGATTGAATACAATTTTCGTAATGTGCAGTAGTGAATTAGAGTCAGAACACACCACCAAACTAAGTTAAAAATTTAAGGAGATACTTCGGCGAATTGTAAAGTTTCCATAAAAGTTTATATTTTACAACTTGAAAGTTGTAATGCAAAAGATGTGTGTTAATACTTTGCATATCGGCGCAAATTTACTGTTAGTATTGAACACACTTTAGTACTCTAAAGTTTGCACATTTGCATAAATTAGCGTCGAGTGCCAAGTTAAGTGCGAATCAAATTGTCACATAAACTATAATATGGATTTCTTATAAATTTGCGAAAAACGCGAGCAATATAGATAATAAAATGTCTTTCCGAAGTGGATGTAAACGTAAAAAAATGGATATAAATAGAACTTATGAATCGGGGATATTTACTGTTGGACGTAATATATTAAATGAATAGGTATTTCGTTCACCAAACAATCATAGTATAACGTAATGTAATAAATATAGATTCGCACCCATTTCTTATATATTATGCGTGTCCTGTTATATACGAAAGTAGATATATTTGTAGGGCGGTAAAAGGAAATGATTATATCTACGCTTCGTTTAGTTGAGTAATTTTGTTTTCTGAAGAAATTAGTGCTTGCACTTTTGAATTACGTATGGTTGTTATTTGAAGTCAATACTTTATCTGGTGGAGATCGAAGGGGTTGATTTTATTAATACTTATTTCCAAGAGAATTAAATTCAACCTTCAAGTTTTCTTCGCTGCGAAAAAATCTACCACAACACAGTTCCGTATAAAAAGCGATCATTAACGAGCTCCTAGCGAGTTCATGATTTCTGTCCATCCGTTCGTCCGTCCGCCTGTGGACAAGATAACTCCCGAACGGTTTCGAATTTTTCAATTCTGTTTTCAGTATTTTGTTTGTCATCACCCAAGAAGGAACTGATTAAATGTTCAGTGTCCCAGGAGCTTATCGTTTGCTATATTTACAAGTCACCCTGCCAAATATTAATAATCAAATACATAAAAGGAGCAAAACGTTAAGTATCACATTACAACAAAACAAAGGGACAAGTTGTGGCAAACATCAGTATAAAGTAATTAATTCTCAATGCCAAGAGCAATATGTACGATTCAATGACCTAACGCACGTCACTCACCTCCAGATGAAGCACCCTGTAAATAAACAGTAACATGTTCATGCAAAAGACAGAAAATATGCTGCAATACATTTAATTATAGATTATCAATGTAGTGTCGATGTTTCCAAATACAGCACCATCCACGAATCGCTATAATATTTATTAGATCGTTTAAATTCAGCATTCTCTAATTGAACATCAACCCTAAGAGAACGTACTGTAACTAAATATAATATGGCAGGTAAAACCAGCGCTAGGAACAAAAGGGATACTGTAAATTGAAAAACAACATATTTACGTATAAAAAATAATGGAATCTTGCCGTGGGTATCTTTATGCATTTAATTCAAAGCATGATCAGCGTAATTATAAAAGAGCCATTTGTATTTTTAATGCGCTATAAATGACAATTCCCATGCTGCACTGAAATGTTAATTTAGCAAATAATCTAACTGGATCACGTAATTACTAGATGGATGCAATAAACGTAAAGATAAAATGAGGAATACGTCACCAAAGTAATTGCAATCGAAACAGACACAGTGACTAGGTATTTGAAAAGTAAAAATTGACAGTTTTATTGTAAATTATGGCCCATTTGAATATAGGGCAGTGAATTAAAAAAACACGTGTTCTACTGAAACTATAAGGGAATGCAATCCCGCAGCAAAATCTCAATCCCGGTATTTGCGGGATTGTTAGATGTTAATCCCGCGGGATCCCGGTATTTGCGGGATCTCGCAAAACTTTAAATAAATTGGCAAATAAGCAATTCTGTGCGGTTAACTTCTGTATTAAAATATATCGCTAATTATCACAATATTTAACAAAAAAGTACCTTCGGCCTAACTTAGAACTCAAAAAAACCTTACCTGTAAAGCACAAAAAGTCTTCTAAAGTGCCTCAAAAATCATAGTACATATTTAACGAAAAAAGTTTAACAATTATTTAAAAAATAATTCGCCGTTATCAGTTTCATTAACAAAGTAAACAGAGTCGTCTCCTTGGTCGACAAATCCCTCAGTCCCGCAAATCCCGCGGGATCCCGCTCCATTTATGTGCGGGATTAATCTCGCAAAGATGCTGCGGGATCCCGGTATTTCGGGATCCCGCAATCCCGGTATTGCATTCCCTATTTTCCAGTCTATAACTTTTGATTGAGAAGTCTGATCGAAAAAGTACGAATTGTTTTGGATTCTAGCCGTTTTATATCTCTTTTTATCAGAGACGGGCGAAACACTGGAACTGGAACCGGAACCGAAAATTATTGAAGTTACGGTCACAGTGCTTCCAAATTCTGATAAATAATGATAATATAAAAAATGAAACATACTGTAAGTGTAAAAGTTTCAAAGAAAGTACAAAAATTATAATTAAAAAAATCACATTTGCAACGTTTACCTATTGCTAAAATTACTTCTTAAATTTCAATTTCAAGTTTCATATTATTTATGTCAAATTTAGATAGTCAGGTGAACACGTGGAGGCATAGAGACACACCCTCCTATCGTAATCCAGAATCCAAAAATCCTGATAGACGGACATGATTTCTATCCAAAATTTAATTGTTTCTTTATAGGGTGTCAAGTTACAAAATTTCATATTAGTATGTGTCCACTTTTTAAATGGAACACCCTATATATTTTTGTCTTTAACTTTCAATAATTTATGCCGCCAAATGGAACAATAAACACAATTTCTTATGTAATATTTATTATTATAATTCGGGACCTATGTCAATCGATAACACCAGTTACTTTATACAATTTAATTATTAAAGAGTTATACCGGGTGTTCGTAAAGATGGTGTAAGTACAAAAGGGGCTAATTCGTTTGCTTTTTTTATGATGAAGAGTTCATGTCCTAAAACGGTTTATTACCGATCTACAGGTTATTATAGTTCTACAATTTAAACCTTTAATTTATAAACATATGCAAACACAATTGAATGCCAACTGTTAAAAGTAATAAAAACAAGATATTACCCAATTAAAACCAGGGCCTACTGGACCATTTTAAAAATTATACTTCCATTTAGCTATCTACAGAAAAGTGATTTTCATTTTTTTAAATAGTGATCACAAATACGAAAGAACTACAAGAGACTAACAATTTTCTAAACAAACCAGAAAATGAAATTATTCTTTCACATTCTAAGTTCAAGGGTTAGAAAATGTAACACGACTCATGAAAAATCAACACCCTGTAGATGCTCACTAACATTGACATGGCCAATGATGTAAGTCCTTCAGATTAACTTATATCTAAAAAAATGCAGGAGATATAAAGAAAAAAATTTGAAATTTTAACACCCTGTATATCGGTAACAAATCGTTTGCCGACCTATGTTTATATTATAAACTTTTGGTCATAAAATAAGCCAAAGAATTAACCCCTTCCGTATTTAAACCAGGTTAAAGGCAAGTTGCAAAAGAAGTAACTGGTTGGGCTACAAGCAGGTAACAAAACAAGGTGGATGTGCAACAGGTGACATCATTTTCTGAAATAAAACAAACACGGAAAATTACATGGCATTTAAAGGTTAATTCTACGTTAACAGAATATGTGGAAATTAGTGAATCGCAACTCACACAGTACACAGATTGTAAACCGAAGAATTCTTGTTAACAGATTTCCAACCCAGGAAACTCGCCCCTCGTGCGGTGTATCCGAGCTTACAGTTGAGATTTGACGTCAGTCGCGGCATAAGGTGTTACAGTTATGTATATATCCACGTGACCGTCCCATGAAA